TTTTTGAGGAACGATCATAGTTTCAAACCAAAAATCAAATATGGTTAGATGCGCAATAAAATTCTCTATCGAACCTGCTATTCAGCTTTTTGATACTTTCAAATTTTTAAATCCGGCAGGGTCCTTTACAGTGTACTACGCTATTGCTTTTTTAATGATTTTTAAAGTTTATTTTTCTGATGTCAGTATCACCCCTAATCTTAGAAGCCTCGCGCCAGCCTTGATGCTGCAACACCTTAACTTCTGTCCGCTGAAGAAAATGTTTGCTGGCGACGGTACCAGCGACTGACATGTCTAAAGAGGTAGAAGAAGCAGTCAGTGCAGCAAGCTTTGTTAAGAATGTTGTATCGTTTTCTATCGATCTAGAAAAGAACTTCCTCTTGTTTTAGTTAATTTCAAACGGTGTGTATGTATGACGGAAGATAACTTTGGAAACAGTAGAAAATGAGATAGAAGGTTTTGAATTCAATCAGTACAATAGCACTGTAAATGCATCATGTTTAGAAACTAATCTTGCAAATTTCAGGTAAAGTGTTGACTTTGAGACATATTGGCAAAGACAACCTCAGTTTTTCACATTCTTATAGGTTCTGGTGCAGAAATTGAAGATGGTCATGATCCAGCAGAGAAACCTCTCGACAGCAGAAGGCAGGGTGGTAACAAACCTGTTTATCTATCTTCAAGTCATTCATCAATATTAACCACATTATCAACTACTAAAAACTCCGGTGTGCTTTTCTTGTATCCGGTGTAAACCTATAAAAATGGAAGATTTTGATCGTCAAAAATTGCTGTTGCGCGATTCGAGAAAAATTGATATACTTCTGTGATTTTATAGCCCTTCATGTGTTCAAGAGGATTTCTTATATCAAAAGAGATTCTTTTTTATGCAGCCTCGTGTTGTATAAAAATGTACGAATGCAATGATTTTATATAACTTTTAACCATTGTTTATTCAGTTTATTTTATACTTTCTCTTAAGATTTCCTTAAGACAACCTTAAATTGCGTCATACCAGCCTTATCTGTTGAAGTAAGAGTACTTTTAGTTTAAGGTTTGCTTTAAAGTCTTTGTGAAACACATGTTTGAAGAGAAGTGTATACACGATTTTCCTAACAAAGACATTGTTACTTTTCTACTAACAAATAAATTAGATGGCATTTATTTCTTTCTCTTTCTGGTTCAGTAAACGCACGTTTTTCTGTCGTAACTATATTCTTTTTCGTTTGCTAATAACACACACACACGTCACGTGATTTTTGAAAGAATGAATCTTTCATTTTGATAATAAGATCAACGCTTATTCCTGTTTAACGGGCTCTAAATTACTTTATTTTAGATCTGACAGTTAAATGCCTCGGGGCATTGGACGCCGTTTTTTAAAGCATGGGTTGTTGCTATGCACAACTGCTGTTGGTACTGGTTTTCTTGGAAATTATTTAGTACAGGTACAAAAGAAATATATCTTGTTTTTATTAAAATATTCAGCAATTCTTTTTATTTAGAATAAATTAATTGTAACTGCTGCTGAATCTCATAAACCGAGTGTGTGGCTTCAACAAATTCCAACACGTGAAGAACAAATCGAAAACATGGCACATGAAGCCGAATATGATATCGTAGTGATAGGCGGTGGAGCGACAGGTATAGAAAAAACCGATACACATTTTGTAATTTGTATCCTACGTTCCTGTGTCTTTTAGGATGTGGAGTGGCTGCTGATGCTGTGAGTCGAGGTCAGAAGAAACGAATGAATCGAGACAGAACGTTTAATATTTCGTTCCTTTGTAGGACTAAAAGTGGCACTTGTTGAAAAGTACGATTTTTCATCTGGTACAAGTTCTCGTAGTACAAAATTGATCCACGGTGGCGTACGTTATTTACAGAAGGCTATAATGCAATTAGATCGTGAACAGTATCACATGGTAAAAGAAGCGTTATCTGAACGTGCTAATTTATTAAAAATAGCTCCTCATTTATCATATCCATTACCCATTATGCTTCCGTGTTACGCATGGTGGCAGGTTCCGTACTATTACGCTGGCATCAAAGCTTATGATCTAGTAGCTGGTAGACAAATATTGAAATGGAGTTATGTAATATCAAAGAAAACTGCTTGTGAATTATTTCCAATGTTGAAAAAAGATAAACTTGTTGGAGCCATTGTTTACTATGATGGTATTTCAAATTTCAATTTTTATTTCTTTATCGCACCCAGACAAACATCTTTTCTCCGTTACAGGTCAACATAATGATGCTCGTATGAACATCGCATTAGCGTTTACTGCAGCTCGAATGGGAGCCAATGTTGCTAACCATTGTACAGTAACTCAATTGATTCATCAAGAAGTACCAGTACACGGCCAAGATGAAGGAATCAAAACAAAAAAAATTGTTCGTGGTGTTAAATGTCTTGATCGATATCAAAGTATTTTTTTTTTATTTAACAAATTATTTTTAAACTAAATGAGAATATTTTGTTTAGATAAAGAATTTACTATTCGTGCAAAATGTGTAGTGAATGCTACTGGTCCATATACAGATTTTATTCGCCAATTGGATGATCCATCTCTGCCAAAAATATGCCAGCCATCTGCCGGCGTTCACATCGTCTTACCAGATTATTACAGGTATTTGAATTTCTACATTAACGAAAAAAAAGTATTTAATCTCGTTTAAATTTTAGTCCACAACAAATGGGTCTTCTCGACCCTAATACATCAGACGGACGAGTTATCTTTTTTTTACCATGGTTAAAACATACAATGGCAGGTTTGTGAATAAAAAAAAAACGATTTTTTATTTTGTTAAAAGTGACGTTATTTGTATTTATAGGGACAACGGATACTCCAACTGAGGTTAGCGATTTTCCGACACCCACTACTGAAGATGTTGATTTCATTCTGGGTGAAGTCAAAAATTATTTATCACCTGATGTGAAAGGTAAAGAAAAGTTGTGGATCAAGAGAAGTTGCTAGTATCAAACGTTTTTGTTTTTTTTTAGTCCGTCGTGGAGATGTGATGGCTGCATGGTGTGGTATTCGACCACTTGTTAGCAACCCAAATAAAAAAGATACTCAATCAATCGCTAGAAATCATATTATTCATGTGAGCGATTCGGGTTTAGTAACAGTTGGAGGTATGTTTTAATGTTTACTTCTCAAAAAAAAAGACTTATCATCTTGTTACAGGAGGAAAATGGACGACGTATAGACAAATGGCGGAAGAAACTGTAAATGCTGCTGTACGTTCAGCGGATTTAAAACCAAAAAATGGTTGTGTGACGAAAGGGCTTATGTTAACCGGCGGAGAGAAGTGGACACCAACATCTTACATTCGTCTTGTTCAAGATTATGGAATTGATACTGAAGTATTGTCAAACAAAACCGGTCATTTACTATTTTATAAGAAAACTTCTATTTTCCATTGTCATAGGTTGCTATTCACTTGTCAAATACATATGGTGATGAAGCACCAAAAGTATGTGAATTATCGACATTAACAGGAAAACGATGGCCTGTTATAGGAAGACGTTTACATGAAGAATTTCCTTACATAGAAGCAGAAGTATGTCTGGATTACATAAATTTGTTTAGAAACATTTATTGAACTACATTTCGTCATTTTAGGTTCATTATGCCGTTCGTGAATATGCTCGTACAGCTGTTGACGTGTTAGCGCGGCGTACTCGTATATCATTTTTAAACGTACTTGCGGCCGAAGAAGCATTACCAGCTGTAATTAAAATTATGAGCAAAGAATTAAATTGGAACACAACAAAACAAAAAGTTTGTCTTCTGTTCTGAACACAAGCCGGTTGATTATAAGGATATCATGATGTATTTCAGGAAGAAACTGATCGTGCTCGAACATTTTTACATCGTGAAATGGGATTAAATTTGAAAACACAGATGAGAAAAAATGTTCCAATTAATTTTAGCAAAGAAGAAATGGGATTTTACATGAAACATTTCCGTGCAATTGATATTCAAAATAAAGGATATATTACGTTAAAAGATTTAAAACAGCATCTAGAAGTAAGTGTTGCTACTGTGATTGTTACCGGTAATGAGACGTTTTGATATCTTATGTTTACATATAGTTATATGATGATGACCTTGTAAGTCTGATGTGATACGTACAACACTAATCTGTTTTACTCATATAACTCATCCGAGTACCTTTTGTGCTTTCTAACATTCACTTTTTATAACAGTCAATATAAACGAATATAAATAGAAACTATCACTCTTTAACTCATGAAATGTCGATTTATGAATAACTCGAAAACGAAAAGCGATAGAAACATGCGACTTTTACTATTTTGTATTAAAAACCATAGGTTATCCACTGGTGTATGAGACCTGGAAAACTTCGGATTTTCAGCTGGGACGAATCGAGCGCGCTCGTCGCTCAAGCGACTGACTTAGGAATTATGCTCGTAGCTGTCGCATGTCATTCCTAATTTAAATAAACTCTCTATGGTTTTGTACAAAAAATGTTTAAACAATTGTTTACTTGCTGTATAAACAGCAGTTCACTTATTATGTAGATAGTCAAATATATTTGTGTAAAAAATATTTTGCAGGGCACGAGCTCTCGATTTGTCTCATACCTAATGTAGGTTTTCAGTAGATTATTGAACTTTGGTCTGAAAACCAACATTGTCATGAGAATCAGCATCGTCGATATTCGAAGTTATTTTCTGAAGTTATAAAAATGATACCTCTTTTTTTTATCCAGTGAGAATCCGAAGCTTTCCAGTTCTCATAAACAATATAGTTTTTAATATAAAATAGTGAAAGTCGCATGTTTCTATCGCTTTTTTTTCTCGACTTATTCAAAAAAGAAAAAACGATGGCATTCAATGAATTGAGGAACAATTAATAAAAGAAGAAATCCAATAGTCATAACGTTTTGTGTTTTGTGTACGACATTGTAACGGGTGGCGCAGAATAAATAGCGTTTTCAGTATTTTCTATTTTTGTCGTGTTTCTTTAGGACCCTAATGTTAGTGATTTTTTTAAAAGATGCTCCACGTTTTGATGTGAAACAATGTGAAGTGTGAAGTCAAGGCTACATAATGGCTAATTCAAGTTTTCTTACTTTCAAAACGTTAGCACAAGAAATCGTTTTTGACTTCAGAAAGTTTTCATTTTTTTCGTCTTTCGTATAATCTGTGTAGTTTTCTTTATTGAAGTTCTGAAATTAAAGTTTACGTATGGTTTTATAGAGTATTTCGCGGTGCATCTTTTAAAAAAACCAATAAGCTTAGGGTCCTAAAGAAACATGAGAAAAATAGAAAATACTGAGACCGCCATTCATTCTGTGTCACCAGTTCAGTTTTGTGTTATTGTTTTTTTTAATTTTTTCCTTTGTTCGTAGGTTGCAAATGGTAGTATAGACGAGGATGAACTTCATATATTAATGCAAGAAGTAGATACAAATCAAAATGGTGTAATTGAAATAGAAGAATTTCTTCAGGTTTGTGTATCAACATAACTTAAAAAAATAGAACAAGTAAATAGTTTTTTCTTCAACTCTAGTTAATGAGTGCAAAACAGACAGGAACTGTTGGTCCAACACATTTTGCAAAAGTAGCACGAATTGGACGAATACCAACTAACAGAAGTGGGGGTGGAGTGTAAAAGACATTTAAGTTTTTCATTTTATTGTAATCTGATCTGTTCAATTAGATCTGTAAGTTTAGTATTCTATTATTCTCTACTTTTATGATCTTCTTTTAGACAATTTTTCTTTTGTGATGCAATAATTTTAGTGACAATATTAATTATTTTCTTTATAGTTTTATGCAGTGGCGGAGCGACCGTTTGCATGAAGAGTGTGTACACCTCTCCTGCTTTCAGAAATTTAGTTGAAAATTTGCTCCCGTTAGAGCCAGAAGTAAGGGAAAACTTACTCCAGATTTGTGAATGAATGGAGCGAGTCTACTCCGATTTTGGCAAACTTTTGTTTGCTCCTTTTACGATTTTTGCGCAGATATTTTCTGTTTTCTCCAATTTCCATATTTTGGTATAGTATTTTGTTTTTGTTTTTTTTCATTTCTGAACAGCTCTCACACTATATGAGGAACAATAAAAAAATGCTGTTTCTTTCGTCTGGAGATAACTGATTAAACAAGGTAGTCCGAAATGAAAAAATGGCGAGTTTTGTATTATTTCTTTTACTTTATCAAACTTCAAGCTGGCAATGCCAGAAAACCTTTTTGAACTTATTCCGGTTTTTGAAACTACCACCACGCTGCTTTAACTTCTTCGCGCCGCCACTGGTTTTATGTATTCTTATAACATCGTGAATGCTCTGAGAGATAGTAATTTATGTGTGAATGGAGGATAGAAAACATCGTAATTGTAAAATCTGTGTTACATGTCTTCTCTGACGCATTCCTTTTTTTTTCTTTATTTTTTATTTGTCTTGTTTGTGTTTTGTCTAATGTCTTTTAAGAAATGTGAATTATTTGCTTTAATTTAACTAATTTATCCGAATTGTGTTGACGTTAACTAAGCATTTTCTTCTGTTTTTTATTTATTCATTATCACCTATTTTAAAATATAGTGTTTGCAGATATATTTTAGATAACTTTTGAACAAAACTCTGTCGTCAAAAGACAGTCTTATTTGTATTAACCTCAGTTGTCGCCTTTTTTTTGGTTGAAACACACTGTAGAGTATGGCATGAAATTTTTACTGTATCTAATTTCGAGAGGCTATGCATAAGAAACTGCGTCTAGAAATGTTATTTGGAGACTGATCACATATAATGTGTCCAAAATGGAATCTTATGTTCAAAGAGGGTCTAAAATGCGCGAACAAATTTTAGAAATCTATCTAGTTTTCTGTTAAGAGATGTAAGATTGATTTATATCGCGTCAATTCGTCTTTACGCAAGCAAAAAAAGTATAAATTGCATTTTTTGAAAAAATAAAAATCAACTGAAAATTTCGAAATATACATTAGCCGACTCAGTTTTTGGATCCTGATTCCGAATATGATATCTTTATTGCATAAAAGTTGGGTTCTGATAGAGAAAATTGAGAATTACCACCAGAATTCTGACCTTTTCGCCTCTGATTTAGAAAAAATGAATTTTCTTAGCAACGGAAAGGAATTTCCAAAAAAGCAGTGCGTAAAGACGAATTGATGTGATATAAATCAATCTTACACCTCCTTACAGAAAAAACTAGATAGATTTCTAAAATTTGTTCGCGTGTTTTAGACCCTCTTTGAACATAAGATTCCATTTTAGACACGTTATATGTGATCAGTCTCCAAATAACATTTCTAGACGCAGTTTCTTATACTGAATTCGAAAAAACTTTGTGGGTTTTGAAAATGGAACAGGAAAAAAAATTTCGATACTTTTCGAAGCTGAACGGTTTCTTGAAGTTGTAGACTCTTCTAGTATTTTGAAAATTTTTCATTCAAAAACCAATTTTTTAAAACTAAAACGTAGATATTCTTGATCAACTCGTTGAGCTCTGTTGTACCATATATAATAGTACTTAATGCCTAAAATAAAATAGTACTTAAACTTCGAATTTGGTACGCCTTACAACCCAAAATTGTATACTTTCAACAAACCAGATCCGGATTTTAACACGTCATCCATTGACAGCAAATATTGACACGAGACTCAATAGGATCGCTTGTGCATGTTCCACCCGTTTTTTGAGGCCATCATACCGAATATTAAATCTGTACTTGAAAATTTTGCATGACTCCTATTTCGTAGAGAGGACTATCTACTAGGCCTGTAAAAGTTCACGTGTCGCTCCTTGAACGTGAACGCTAAAGTACTGGTGAACATGAGCTTTTTTTATACGAACGGTGTTCATATTGTTTGGAGTAAATATAAAATTCTGTTCTGGTGCTGTAGTACGAACATACATATTTCTGCTCATCAAAGTGTCTCGAATTTGTATAAAACCATATTTTTTCGCGTAAAAAATTGGCATCAAAAGAATTCAGCCTGGGGTCCGTTAGGTATAAATTTGAAAAAATTCTGTGTTAGCTATTTGATAGTGCGTAAAATAGAAATAATCCAGAAAACATTGATTTTTAGGGTTCCCGAACCAACTTCAAGTAAATGTCCACCTACTATGCAAAAATTGCCCACTGTGTATCAGTCACTAATATTATGCTGATAAGAATTAGTAGTGTGAAACGAGACACGGTTTTCATATCACCCAAACGTCGAGAGCTAATTTTATCTGAAGATTATTGTAATTCGTCGTCTGTATTCAAACACTATACTATCGTATTCTGCAAAAAATATTCTCGCGTGTTCCGTAGTTTGCTAAATACATATTTGAGATAATTGCTATGTCAAATTGATATAAACGTTGTTTTCAAGAGTATCACAGAACATTTCCACGAACAGCAGAAAATCTCATCGATTGATCAATTGTCATCATAATTATAATACAAGAGGATGTTCTCCAGAATGATGTACTTATTCCCACATATATACGCTATGAATAGATTCACATTCTTGATGTCATTTGTAAGAGAGAGTACTTATTGCATTATATTAAGTTGGATGATATCATTAACTTGATAAATACTCTCCAATCCGATATATCAATGATTAAAACAAACGTCATTGACATTTGTTTTGACACAAATAGTCAGAAATATATTAAGAAGTAGTAATATATTTATTACCATTTTTACAGGATAAAAAATCAGTAGAACAAGAAAATTTCAGCTTCTACCCTTTTCTTTCTCTAGGAAAATAACAGAAAAATACCCCCTTCTCTAACTGAAAGCACGTCTTAAATAGTTATATTTTCCATGAGTCATTTATTTTCGATTCTATTTGGACGCAAAGTGTCAAGAGATCGTTAGAACTCATTCTGTCACAATTTCTTATTTATTAAAAACCAAATGATAGATATGAAAATAAACTCGAGATGATAGCTCTTAGGTAGATCCGTCTGAAACTATCATGAATTGGCTCTCAAGAATTTATAATAGAAAATGTTGACGTTTTTGTTGTTTTAAAGATGAATCGTTGTGAGAATTTACAATTCATCTTATATCGACTTTTATTAAATAAATGCACACAACATCAATAATGAATAAAATCTTTGCATACGATGCACTTCATCACTGTAGAAATAGGCTGACTCATCTATAAATAAATGTATTACCTTCCACAGGTGGGCGATGGACTATCTTTAGCTCCCTCGTGTGGATCGTCTCGCAAACTTTTTGTCTCGTCATCGCTCTGTACTTCGCGTAGATCGCCCCTTTAGCTTTTTGCTCCATCGCCGCCTCATCCACCGCAAATCTTGATAAAATTTTCCTCTGGCACTTCCTCATCGATCTTCCTGAGTTCGGAAAATCTCTGCTAATATAAGCTATTCATTGTTTCATCTTGGTTCACAAGAAGAACCACCACCTTTATTATAAAAATAGATCAAAATAAACATAACATCTTTCGCACACAAGAAAAAATGCCCTTAAGGGAGTTGGCGTCGTGTTCTTGCCTCGTCATCGTTCCGTTTTTGAAATATGTGGTTTGAAAGCTTGACGAATTTTTAAGAATTTTATAAGAAAATGTTAAAAAAACATCATTCGATGTGATTTTTCAGATATTTTTCGAGTTGAATGAGATTCATGTAGAATCAGTTTTTTCAATCTATAGTGGTTTTTTTCAAAATTGAACATTGTCTCTTTTTGAAAAACTTGAACTTAATCTAAATTTGAATTTTCGACTATAGAACTTTGATATTCGAAGAAAGAACAATTTGTTATAGGCTGGCTATAAGTAAAAATATTTCTTGTTTGTTATTTTAACATTATGGTTAGAACAAGAATATATATTAACAGAGAAAAATATGCGCACTATCTACATACGCTACATTAATGTAAAAAGTATTAAAATGAGATAAAAAAAAACCTATGAATAACCTCGCTACAACAAAAATATGAGATAGAGAGAGAGAGAGAGTATTAAAAACATAAAAACGAACAAAATAAAAAATATAGATATATGTGTATTTACACATATTATTTAAAAACCACCGAAACAAGAATGATATTCTTGTTTTAATAAATCAAAAAACAACAACAACAACAACAAGAATATATAAACAACATCGAAATTTGATTTTTTGAATGAAGAGAACACATGTTTCTTTTACCGGTATTTTATTGTAAAAACAAAACGAAAGAGAGAGAGAGAGAGAGGAAAATAAGAAACAACAGCGTTCTGTTAAACATCATTCATTTAAAAAACTGTAAGTCGAAAAAAAATAAAACTGAAGCATTCAGCTGACCTAATAGATGAAGAGTAAGAAAAAGGATTCACTTTATTCAACCTCATAGGTAAACATACATTTTAAACCTGAGAGAAAAATAAAGAAAGATGCGAGTAATTTTGTTAGATTCAGTACATTGTAAAATGCGTCTGACGCAATTGTTATTTGATACAATTCAAATATAGATTAGATATAAATGAGAATATATATGTATCAGGTTTTGTTCAGAAGTCAAAATGAAATAATAATGACAAAATCAAAAATATTGAGCAATAATGAATTCGTCGAGGCGAGAAGTTTAATAACGGACGTTTTTGTTAGATGTCAATGTGGTGATGTAGATACCATGTACTAGAGTGAGGA